GGCTGCACATTAGAATCACCTGGGAATCTTTTTAAAATCCTGACTTCTGGGCCTCATCCTCCGGAAATTCTGTTTCTTTGTTGCTAATGTTGTGGCCCCACCCCATAACAAAGAAACAGAATTTCCGGAGGATGAGGCCTAGAAATCAGGATTTTAAAAAGATTCCCAGGGGATTCTAATGTGCAGCCAAGGTTGAGAGCCACTGGGTTAGGGCCAACCATGGGCTTTTGAGTTGAGAAAAGCTACAGATGCACACACTGAATAAAAATGGCCCACGTCACCTGGTGACACTGAACATTTTGTTTCCTTAGGGCCTGCCTCTGAGTTGCTGATGGCTGAGTGGCTCTACTGATGGATCATTTCAAATAGATGAGAAGCACCAAGTGGAGGCAAGGGTTTGAAATCAGCTTTGAGAGTCAGTGCCAACTGTCTGAGATCAGAAGAGGCTGAGCTCACCTTTTCCAACTGGAGTGAAAGCTGATTATACAGAAACACACCCAACTCCCTCATCATCAGAACTGCCGGGTCGGAGAGAGGCTCTGGTTAAAAGGCAGCGCCACAGACCCCTCCTCAGGCAGTTTGGTTTCTGTTAAACAAGCACTTTAAGTGATTGTAATCTGCTGGCAACTTTGAGAAATGCTGGCAGCTCTTACCCACAGAGACTTTACTATCAGCCAGACCTGGCTGGAGGCCCAGCTTTGCCTCTTCCTGACTGCATAACCCAGCAAGCTGTTGAATCAGTCTGCACCCCAATTTCCACAGCTGAACAATGAGAAGGATCCTAGTACCCACGTCAAGTAAGGGTTAGCGTGGAATTTTGCCAACAGCACACAGTGACTGAGTTTTTGTTGTTAATCATTTTTATGTACTATAAGCTCATAAGCTATTTGCTCTCAAGATCTATTGTTCTCCTTTTAAGGTAGACGTTAGAAACTCAAAAGGCTACCTACAATCAAGCAGGTGACATTAACAGCTGACAGTTGGCTGGACATAAAAAAAATAATAAGAACGGGGAGACCAACAAACTGGAGAATGTATCTCTCACCAAAAGGAGGCAGCTCCTACTCAGCTCGGAATATCTTAATTTTTCAAGAGAAATTAAAAATCTAGCTCATATGAGATTTCCCTCATCCAGCGATAGACCAAATTCAGCCTATGGTGGGGTTGCCAGATGGGTTGGGATATACTTATACTAAAAAATTATTCATGTTCATCTGAAGTTCTACTTTAGCTGGGTGTCCTGTTTTGTGTTTTGGTTTTGTTTTTCCAACATCTGGCAACCCCAGCCTGTGGGTCACCATTTTGCAACTTATGTTCTCAGGGGACCCAAAGCTATTGGTTCCTAAGGCTCACTAGAGCAGAGAATGCACACACACACACACACACACACACACACACAGTAGGCTGTCCTGGGTTCTGGACTCTGTATTTTTAAAACATGCCCTGGGTGATTCTGCTGTTCCCCCCAGGTCAGAATCACTGAGATGCCAACTGGGAGAAAGGCAGTGATGAGAATGTACCTCCAAGTCTGATTTGGATGGCTTGGCTTCTTTACTTTCTATTTCCATCTCCTTCTGTAACATCATGTTAATCTGCTCTTCTGGGCTCGCTGGTCTGCTTCCTGGGGGGGTCTCACAGGTCATCACCTCCTTCTTCCTGGATGAGGAGGTCAAGGTCTTGTGGGCGGATTTGGTCCTGAAACGAAGACATGGCTCAGCCCTAGCTCAGCAGAGGCTCTGAGCTGTCAGCCTGCTTTCCGGCCACATGAGGGTCCTTCTGCCGGAGACGCCCTCCTCCGTGCCATCTGAGAGCTGCGGCATGAGCAGCGACCTCTAACATGGAGCACGGCATAGGTATGTTAGCACTGGTTTGCTCAGTTGGTTAATTTATTTTTATTTAGCATCTAAAGTTTTTTTAGATTAAGGGAATTTGGGGAGTGGGGGGCATTGGTTACTGGTTATCTGGGAATGCTTTGAAGCCGAGAAGACCATGGCTTTAGTGAGACCACAGCCTTTTGTGGTTCAGCCTGGTGTCCTGAAATCCTTGTACCCACAGAGACAATGAAGAATCTTACCTGGTATGATCCGTTTTGTCTATTTGGAGGGACTTCATTTTCTTCTTCTCAGGCTCTGCTGAGCTCTTTGTTGCTAGAAGAGTGGAGAAGAAAGACATAAGTGATGGGCAGTGGCCTTGGGCCATCCTCTGTCCACAGGGATGTGGCTCTCAGGACTGTCCAGGTGAGTGGGATGAGGCAGGAGATGTGGATTCTGGTCCCACCTGCACCACTAATTACCTGTGTGGCCCTGAAGAAGTAACTTCATCACTCCAGGCCTCAGCTTCTTCAATTGTGAAATAGGGATGAGCAAATTCATACATTTGACAGATATTAATAACTGCCTACTTGATCCACTCTCCAACCCTGTTGCTCTGTTTCCTAAATGTTACATGTATTGTTGTTTCATATTTTTCTTTAAATAGACTCAGATATTTAAACTTAATATATTTACTTTAAAAAAAAGTGTGATTATAAATAAAAAAACAGTATCATTGCCCTAACTGGTTTGGCTCAGTTGATAGAGTGTCAGCCTATGAACTCAAAGGTCCCAGGTTTAATTCTGGGTAAGGGCATGTAACTGGGTTGCAGGCACATCCCCAGTGGGAGATATGCAGGAGGCAGCTGATCGATGTTTCTCTCTCATCGATGTTTCTAACTTTCTATCCTTCTTTCTTCCTCTCTGTAAAAAATCAATAAAATATTTTAAGAAAACAAAATAAAACAGTACTATTTGCAATAAAGGGTAACTACAAATCCTATCTAATAAAGACAATATGCAAATTGACTGTCACTTCATGACAAAAATGGTGGCACCCACAGCCAATAAGGAGGGGATATGCAAATTGTGCAACAAAGATGGTAGCAGCCGGGCTGGGATGCCTGCATTGTGGCGATGATGCAGGCGTTCCGCACCCTCCTAGCCACTTCTGGCCTCTGGGCAGCACGCGAAGGCGAAAGGTGGCTCCAGGCCAGAGTAAAGGCAGTGCTGGCAGCCAGGGAAGGAAGGCCTATTCTTGCACAAATCTTCGTGCATCGGGCCTCTAATAATTTTAATAAATGACATAAAACTCTACTATTCAACTTGCTTAAGTTTCTAGCCTAAGGAAATTAACAAGTAATAGAGAAGAATTAATGTCATACTATTAAATTGAAATTCTGAGAAAATTAAAGAAAACTGAAAACTCTCAAGATATATTTTGAGTTCATACTTGAGCTCCTCATCAATCTACTCCAAATATAATAGTAATAGGAAAAAAAACTCTTTAAATATAAAAATATATTGCTCCAACATACATCTAACAAGAATTACTAAAGGATACCCTTAAATAGATATATGTGTACCTTGTGAGATTAAATAAATTAATATATACAACGTACTATGGGGAGAGGAACCAAGATGGTGGTGTAGGTAAATGTGGTACTCAAATCCTCCAACAACCAGATCAAAATTCCAACTAAACTACAGAACAACCATCATTCAGAACCACCTTATATCTGGCTGAATGGAAGTCCTACAATTAGAGAAGTAAAGAAGAAACCATGTTGAGACTAGTAGGAGGGTCAGGGACATGGAATGAGTTGGTCCAAAATCCACATGACATTTTTTTAATTGGGAGGGATATCGAGGCTGTGGAGGTTCCTACAAGAAGCAAGGTGTCCCAGCCCCATGCCAGACCCCTCAGCCCAGGGTTCTGGTGTTGGGAAGAGAGGACCCTGTAACTTCAGGCTGTTAAAACCAGCAGAGATTGTGGCTGAGTGACACAGAGCTGACAGAGACCCAGGCAGTTCCTCTTAAAGGGTCAGTGCATGGACTTACTTGGACTCACTCCCTCTGAGCTCCAGTATTGGGGCAGCAGCTTGAAAGTATCCAAGGACATATGGGGAGGAACTGTATTGTCTGGCATCAGGGCAGGAACTCAGGGGAAGCTTTCTCCCAGTCTGCTTTCCAGCCACAAAAGTGCTGGCAGAGGTTATTGTTCCTATGCTGGGACCTATTCCACCACAGGGCTGACTGGCAGTCACCATATCTGAGTCTCCATCAATCTGGCCCACACTATTTGCTCCACCCTGGAAATTCTCTGAGACCCCACCCCATCTAATTTTCAGTCCCACCCAAGCTGTTTGTAGTGGCTTTTCCATGTGAATAGCCTGTCCTGGCTCAGGCTTCATACTTTTCTAAAATCTCTCAAACAAGCATACTCCATACCTATCAATAAGTGGCCCCAGGCCTGGCACTAGCAGCAACCTGCCTTTGTTCATAGTTTGGCCTCTCCTGGGCACCTCCAAGGCCAACACAAGTAGCAGCCATCTGCAGATTGCTCTGTAGCTTGTGCCAGATGGCCCCAGGCAGAAGAAGTCCCAGTAACTTTGGAAATTGGCTGACTTTGTACATCCCAGGAGGTCCTAGAGCCAGTGCACCAGTGGACAGCTTCAGACCATACCAGATTACAATTCTACCACATTCACAAGTGACACATTCAAGAGGCAGACTTGGTGAGAACCCCACTGAGGCAAGTCCTGCTCCATAGGAGTGTCTCCTGAACAGCAGTTCTTCCATTGTAGACAACAACTGGTCATCACAGCCAATTGCCCTGCGGGTCAATTCCGCCCAGTGATGCCAACAGCAATCAAAGTTCAACTACAATAGGACAGCTCACACAGCTCACACAGGGGGTGCACCTAGATTTCTCATCTCAGGGGACTGGGGAGGCTGAGCCACTGGGCCCTATAGGACACCTACTTCACAAGGCCACTCTACCAATTCCAGGAGACATAGCAGCTCTGTCTACCTAATACATAGAAACAAACACAAGGAAGCAGCCAAAACGTGGAGATGAACATGTCACAAAAAGAAGAACTCTCCAGAAAAAAACACACTAAGTAAAATGGAAGCAAGCAAACTACTGGATACAAAGTACAAAATAATGGTTACAAGGATGCTCAAGGAACTTAATGAAAGCTTCAAGGAACTTATTGAGAATGATAAAGGACTTAGTGAGAAATTTAAGGATCTTAGTGAGAACATCAAAAACATGAAAAAGGACCATTCCAAGGTCACTTACTCTATTGTTCTGTTAAGCTACAAGGAAGTAACTGAAGGAGATTATCCTAAGTAAAGATTATGTAGCTTAAGTGTGATTGTTTGTAGTTAAAGTGATTAATTACCTGCCTGGCACTTAGTTAAGGGGTTTTATTCCCTTCCTTAGTCCTATTAATCCCTAACTCCAGGGAAAAATCCCCACCTGGGGAAACAACCTTCCTCAGAGAGATGACCTTGGTTAAAACACATAGTGCTAAGAAGGGAGCAAACATATTAAGAACAGTATGCCATATACGCCAGGTCCCTTGAAACATATGCTGTGCAGATATTTCTTCCCTGCAGCGACTGTGTCAAGCAGCAAGGATGGACTGGCTTCTGGCAAAAATCCAAAAATATGAAGATAATGTAAAGAGCCTTTGGAACAACCTCAACTATACCAACATTTGCATCATGAGGGTTCCAGAAGGAGAGAAAAAGATAGTGAAAATCTATTTGAAGAAATAATGACAGAAAACTTCACCTACCTGGTGAAAGAAATAGACTTACAAGTCCAGGAAATGCAGAGAGTTCTAAATACTATGAATCCCAAGAGACCCACACCAAGACACATCATAATTAAAATGCCAAGGGTTAAAGACAAAGAGATAATCTTAAAAGCCACAAGAGAAAAGCAGTTAGATACCTACAAGGGGGCACCCATACAACTGTCAGCTGATTTCTCAACAGAAATTTTGCAGGCCAGAAAAGCGTGGCAAGAAATATTCAGTGATGAAAAGCAAGGATCTATAACCAAGATTACTCTATCCAGGAAAACTATCATTTAGAATTGAGGATCAGATAAAGAGCTTCACAGACAAGAAAAAGCTAAAAGAGTCTACTACCACCAAACCATGAAATGTTGAAGGGGAGAAGAAGAAGAAGGAGGAGGAGGAAGAGGAGGAGGAGGAGGAGGAGGAGAGAAGAAGAAGATCATGAATATAAATTTTGCCAAAACCGGTTTGGCTCAGTGGATAGAGCGTCGGCCTGCGGACTGAGAGGGCCCAGGGTTGACTATATCTATCATCAACTGAAAGTAAAAATCAAAACAAATGAATAAGGAATCTAATGAACAAAATAAACTGATGAATGAAATAGAACCAGAGGCATGGAAACATGGAACAGACTGATGAATCTCTGAGTGAAGGGGAGGGGTGGGAAGAGATTAACCAAAGATCTTACATGCACACTAGGGGCCCAGTGCATGGATTTGTGCACCTTGAAAGGAAGTATAGGCCAGGAGGCTGCAGTGGGCACAGGGGTGGGTCTCAGCCCATCCTCCGTGCCCCTGACTGGCCCTGCCCACTGCGGCCCCCAGTCCCCTGTTTGCCAGCAGCCCACTCCTGCTGCCACCACTCCCATGTGCTCTGTGGAGCAATTGGGGCCGGCACCAGCAGTGGGTGCGAGTGGGGCCAGCGCCGGGCACCAGCAATGGGTGTAAGCAGGTCCAGTATCGGCAGCAGGTGCGAGTGCCGGGCAGGACTGTGGCGTGCAGGCGCAAAGAATTTTCAGTAACCACCAGAGTTTCATCCTGATGACAGCAACCAGTGCCTCGCCATGGTCTGGCACCCCTGCTCACCTGCTCCACCATCTCACCATGGCCAATGCCCACCATATTCCGCGCGCATCCCCTGGTGGTCAGCGCACGTCATAGTGACCAGTTGTTCGATTGTTCTGCCATTTGGTCTATTTGCATATTAGCCTTTTATTATATAGGACTAGAGGCCCAGTGCACAAAATTCGTGCACTGAAGGGGTGTCCCTCAGCGCAGCCTGCACCCTCTCTAATCTGGGACCCCTCAGGGGATGTCTGACTGCCGGTTGAGAGAGAATTTGAGCCAGAACCACCCAGTGACCCACATATACCATAATATAATAAACGGTGCTTGTTTTAAACCAGCAGTCGCCAAACGGTGATCTGTGAGGTCTGAAAGGTTGGCAACCGCTGTTTTAAACTGTTAAGTTTGGGGGTAATTTGTTATACAGCAATCAATTAACACAGTGCATGAGAATAGTGCTTGGTGCATTGTATGTAAGGTTTGGTGTATGTATATGTAAGGTTAGCTTTTACAATCATTCCCATTTCATACGTGAGGAGACTAATTGAGGTTATCTAAAATTAGCTGGTGTAAGAGTAAAGCCAGGCTAGAACCCAGGATTACAAATCAAACTCCAAGACCCCATGCTGCCAGAGATACCTGATGGGAACTCCTGAATGACCCTTTTCCGAGGGACATTGATGGTGACTGGCTGGTAGACCTTCAGCAGGTCCTTCAGCTTCAGGTCCTGAGCTCTCAAGGAGTAATTGTTGGCAATGCAATCGCTGGGTCCACGATGGCGGTGCTGCTCTTTGAAGGGTGCAGCCAGGGTCCACGATGTGCGTTGCATCAAGGGGGGGTAAAAGCTGTGTGACATGACCGTCTACAGGGAGACATGCAGAGAGAGATGCAATGAGGGCCATCTCTTGTGAGTGGCCCGGCCAGTGTTGCTCAGTGGGTTGGATATTGCCCATGCACCAGAAGGTCATGGTTCACTTCCCGGTCAGGGCACATGCCCTGGTTGTTTGCGGGTTTGATCCCCAGCAGGGTGCGTGGGCTCTGAGGGGTCCTCGCTACATTCTCTCGCTGACAATCGCAGAGTCCCACACGCCTTATGCTGTTTCTATCTTCTGCAAACTCGCTGCGAGTGCTTTCTGAGTGGATGCTGATTGTCCTGCCTGGCCACTGTGAGCGTGATTTCTGATAGCTGGCTTTCAGTAAACAGTAAGTTTGTGAATCAGGTAACTGATTTTTATTGTCTTTATTCCTAATGGACATGGCTAGAAAGAAATAATCGCTCTCACTTTATAGCTGAAGATGAAGCATTTCAGAGTTTCAATAACACAGCAGGTAATCTTCCCCGGTCACAGGAATGACCAAACCCCCCAATCCCACTGTCAACCCTGCCTGCCTGTCCCCCACGGGACACCAGGTAAACAGACCTGATAGACTTCAGACGGCTCCTCGTTCGCAGAAGCAGGCAGAGGGGGCAGCTCGGGCCGCATCTGGCAGCGGCTCATGTGATGTATCGAGTCACTTTTGGGGATCTGTTGGAAATGGGAACAAAATCACTCTTTAGGAATGAGGAAAGATTCCTGAGCCTCTAAGTTGGTGAGGAGTAGAGATTCCCAGGAAGATTCTAGGCACAGAGTTCTCATCCCCGTCCACGATGTAGATCTCATTGTTAAACCATCCATCTTTCCAGCAGCATCTCCTCCTTAGCTACCTGCTTAGGAGCAAACTCAGATATTTTTTCTCCAGGGAAGGGTCCAAATTGTAAGGACACCCCAAGCTGCCCTAGGTTGGGTTGTGATGAAAGGGGCTGCCTTTTAAAAATACTGTTGCATTTCACATATGCACAATTCCAAGTAGGAATTTACCCATGCAATCGCATTGCATGCTGTGTGTGCTTAGCACAGCCATTCTGAGCTTCCTGCAGAAAAAAACATCATTTAAACCTGTGGGAGCTGGAGCCCACCTTCCCTTCAGTGAGCGTGTGTTGGGAGTGAACCTCAGGGACCCAGTGCAGGTGCCTCCCGGAGCAGAGCTGAACGTGGCTGCAGTGCTGCCTGATGCTGTGTGCACGTCTGCCCCACACCAGTCCCCTGAGGCCACAGGACAATGGCTTCTTCTGAAGGAGACGCTGCAATTTGACCCAGCACTGGGGAAACTGCGGGGCTGGACTGAATGAGAAGCGCTGCTGTACAGCACATTCAAAATAGCTTCAGGGCCTTGGCCAGTGTGGCTCAGTTGGTTGGGCCTTGTTCCATGCACCAAAAGGTTTCCAGTTCGATTTCTGGTCAGGGCATATGCCCAGGTTGCTGGCTCCACCCCCAGTAGGGGGCATGCAGGAGGCAGGCAATTGATGTCTCTCACTCACATCGATATTTCTCTCTCTCTCTCTCTCTCACTTCCTCTCTTTCTAAAATGAATAAAAACATATAAAAATAGTTTAAGGGATTTTTACAGACAATTTTGATTCTCTGTGATTGTTCACCTTATGCAATGACTTTGGACTGAACTCCTGTTAATATAAGACATTATTAGATTGATTTGATTAATTTGGGTCAGCAAATTAGGTCATGCAGGGTAACTAGCAATGGGTAGTGGGGTTCAGGAATATGTAAATCAGATGTTAGCCACCACTTTCCCCAGCCAACCCCTCACTGATGACTCAATCTTGCAAAAAAAAAAATAACAACATCTGCCATTATTTCAAACTAGAGGCCCAGTGCGTAAAATTCGTGTACAAGGGGCAGGGTCCTGTCAGCCCAGCCTGCACCCTCTCCAATCTGGGACCCCTTGGGGGATGTCTGATGCCAGTTTAGGCCCTAAACCAATTGGGCCTAAACCAGCAGTCGGCATCCCTCTCACAATCCTGGACTGCTGGCTCCTAATTGCTCACCTGCCTGCCTGCCTGGTTGTCCCTAACTTTCTCCCTCCCCCCGCCAGCCCGATCATCCATCACTGCCTCTGCGTGCCGGCCTGACTGCCCCTAACTGCCCCCCTGCCGGCCTGGTTGCCCCTCTAACTGCCTCTGCCTGCTGGCCTGATATCTGCCTGGCCTGGTTGGCCTATGCAGCCTGCTGTTCAGTTGTTTGATTGCCCCTCACTAACCCCCCTGCTGGCCTGGTTGTAGGCAGCCATCTTGTGAGGGTGTGAGGGTTATTTTGCATATTACCTCTTTATTATATAGGATTATTATGTGAATTCTTATACTCATATTTTAGCTGAAGAAACGAAAGCTCAGAGAGGATAGGTAACACAGCCTAGCCACACAGGGGTGCTTTTAAAGGCATTACTCCAGCCCTAACCTGTTTGGCTCAGTGGATAGAGCGTCAGCCTGTGGACTCAAGCGTCCCAGGTTCGATTCCGGTCAAGGGCATGGACCTGGGTTGCGGGCACATCCCCAGAAGGGAGTGTGCAGGAGGCAGCTGATTGATGTCTCTCTCTCATCAATGTTTCTAACTCTCTATCCCTCTCCCTTCCTCTCTGTAAAGAATCAATAAAATATATTTTTAAAAAAATAAATAAAGGCATCACTCCATAACCCCACACAGTGGAAACAGTAAGAATCACTTACACAAAGAATTATTTTTGGGAATGTGTTTACCTTAAAAATAAACAAGTGAGCAAACCCATAAGCGAAGATACATCCTGAGCCTGGGACCTTTACAAACAGGCGCTCCACGGATCTCACGGCCTCATTCAGTGGAAGTGGTGGCACCAGCCAGCAGAACTCGGGAAACATGGGGGTGCTCCGCCTCTCCCTCGAGCGTGATGCGTTTGAGACCCGTGGACCCTGCTGTTTCCCCACTGAGAGAACTGCTCTGTTGGTTTAAATCACTGTCTGACTCTCTGCTCTTCCCTCAATTTGAAGGATCTAAGAATTGAGTGATCATCTCCAACAACCCCCTCTCTCATGACTGAAATCAAGATCAGGCCTGCAGCGACGAGTGAATAAGATGACAACACTGCAGCGTCAGCTTGGAAGAAGCCGGGTCATCCCCAGCAGGTGCCATGCTATCCAGGCTGGGTCTGGGCAGCAGCAGTTTAGGAACGTGAAGTCATTCACGGCTTCCTGCAGGGCCCCAGATGGACAGGTGATACTGACCTTTGCAAGCAAGGTTTTGTGGTCAGTGGAAATCTTTCCCTTGGCCTAGCTTTTAAATCTGCTTCAAATAAAAATCTGTTTGTTTGTTTGTTTTTCATCCTCACCCAAGGATATTTTTCCATTGATTTTCAGAGTGAGTGGAAGAGAGAGGGAAAGACAGAGAGAAGTATCGATGTGAGAGAAACACCTTGATTGGTTGTCCCCACCCGTGCCTTGACCAGGGCCTGGGGAGGGGAGGAGCCTGCAACCGAGGTACGGGCCTTTGACAGGAATCAAACCCAGGGCCCTTCGGTCCGCAGGCTGAAGCTCTATCCACTGGCGAGGGCTCAAATAATCTTCATTAAAATAGCAACTGAATCTTAGCTCTTCCAACCAAGAATTTGGCACCTAGGTTGGGTAGAATTGTTAGTTTCATGTGGCTTATTTCAGACCACATGTGAAGTCTGCACATCCTCTCACAGGCCATTGCTAAATGCTCGCCTGAGGACCCGCTACAGCAGAATCACTTGAGTCTTAGTGAGAAAGACAGACTCCAGGGCCACACTCCAAACCTGCATTCGCATCTTTGGGAATGAGGCCAAGTCTCCATGTTTTAAGACATTCCCAGGATAATCTGATGTGCAGCCAGTGTTGGGAATGGTGGGATGGAATATATAGTCTAATGGCCTTAGAAGGGAAGGGAAGGGAACAACAGCTGAAATTTTCCCAGTAAAATGTGAGGATTGGATAAAAAAGCTTAATTCAGCAAAAAGCATATTTCAAAGGACACAACATAAACGTGGTTAGCACACTCGCTCAGTCAAGGAAGCCCACGGCCACTGCCCTGTGATTGAAACATCCCCTTCCCACCCACTCCCCAGTCTCTACATGTTGAAAATATGGGTTAAGAAAAAGACTTTAAAATGCATACACACCTCTGGAGATGAGCAATCCATGTCATTCATATTGTATGTTCTAGTTGGACCTTTTGTAAAAAAAGGAATAAGGAGTCCGTTGCTTCCCCTCCTACCAGTGGGTCTGAACTCCACACTTCCTTAGAGCATCATAGGGAGGACACAGACAATGGAATTTTCCAGATGTTCTGAACACTCCGTTCCCAGGGCCGCCTCTATGAGGTAGCAGACTTCAGCCCCCGAGGAGCTCCCTGGTAGACCAGAGAAAGGGAGGCTAGAGAATCAGGAGGCGGCCTTGGGCGTTGCTGGGCTCGGCTGCGGTTCCAGCTCCCCTTGCCATGGCTCCCTGCCGTCCACCGAGCTCTCCTCTTGGGTCTTTCCCAGGAACACACCCAGCTCACGGGGAACGGAAGCAGAGTTACATATTAACAGAGAATGGGGAGGAGGCACCCCAAAACAATATCCCCAGCACATGAACTCGTCGCTGCCCCCCTCCCTGGGCTGTTAACATGGGAGGCGCAATGACCGGCTTCCGTGTCGGTTGCTAAGGAGGGAGAGGCCTCTGCAGTGCCCAGTTACAAGCCTGGGCTTGACCGCCGTGTCCCGGTGTCCCCTTTGCTGGAGGAGCAGTCAGGCAGCAGGAAACTTGTGACAGAGGGCAGATGAGAGGGTGTTTAGCAATGACCCAGGAAGGGAGTGTGAGTGGCAGTAAGGGACTCTGCCTTTGGACTTAGACTTTTCTTAAAAAAATATATTTTATTGATTTTATTGATTTTATTGAGAGGAAGGGAGAGGGATAGAGAGTTAGAAACATCGATGAGAGAAAAACATCGATCAGCCGCCTCCTGCACACCCCCCACTGGGGATGTGCCCGCAACCCAGGTACATGCCCTTGACTGGAATCGAACCCAGGACCCTGGAGTCCTCAGGCCGACGCTCCATCCACTGAGCCCCAGTGCATGAAATTTGGACTTAGACTTTGTGGTAAAGAACAAAGAATTTTTTAGTATAAGTAGGTCCCATTCAACAGCTGAACATACTAATATTAAAACATTATGCTTACCTGAAATTGGAATTAAACCAGGCATCCTGCATTTTTATTTGTTGAAACTGAAAATACAGAGAGAAGAGGTCCACTAGGGTCTAGTCCCCATCTCTGTGGTGTGGACAGTGTAGGGTCCCCATCTGCTGCGGGGAAGTCTTCACACAATCCTATTCAGAGCCCAGTGCTCTGGCAGGTCTGAGATGGGTGCTTAGCCCGAGTGAAACACTGTAGGGACATAGGAGAGACTGCACGTGGGATTGCTTCACTGACCCATCAAATGGCTATCGACAGCCATGTCTGGAGACATGCTACGACTCCTGCCGTCATGGGATAAACAAGGTGGTGGAGGAGGCAGCTGATATACAAGGAAAAGCGAAATGGGGCTGGCCCTCAAAAATGCCAGAGGTGGGAGGAGTAGGGGATTCACAGAGGCGCCCCTAGATGGCAGCAGTGAAAGCCCTAACCAGCTTTCCAAAACAGCACCCACCAGGGAATAATGGTTGTAAAGTATTGTCCTAAAACAAAACACACAGAAACCATTTCCTGGGTGGGACACCCATCAGACTGCAGCTGAGCCACATGCAGGAAGCCACACAGGACTGACCTAAACATCACAACTTAGGGACCCTGTCCATGCCCTCCAATCCCCAGCCACCATTAGCTCCCCTTCCATCGTGTTGTGGAGTTAGAGCCTGATCCCTTAGCTTATACTTATTATTAGTCCAAGTTTATTTTTCTAGGCACCAACCTGATTACTTCTAGAAACATGAGTTGGTAGAAATTATACCATCACATATTTTGGAGCCTGCATTTCAGCAAGGTGCTGAGTTCTTCACAGCCAGCCCCACTGCAACCGTGGCTGCTTTCTCCTGGCCTAAGGAGCTATTTTCCAGACGAGAAGAGAGAAACCAAAGAACTTACATGCTTACTAGAGGCCCAGTGCATGAAATTCCTGCACTGGTAGTGTCCCTAGCAGCTGCCAGCTGCCGGCCAAGGCTTCCCTTCATTCCACACCACCCCCTGGTGGTCAGTGCATGTCATAGCAAGCAATCAAACTCTAGATCAGGGGTCCT